CCCTGTCGGCGCTTCCCTGGCCCGCCTCGGCGGAGCGCTCGCCCGCGCCCCGACTTCTCGACCCGGCCAGTCGTCTCGCTCCGGAGCCGCGACGCCGTGCTGCCCCTGACACCTCAGAGCCGAGGGAAATCGCCGGAGGCGAGCAGACGCCCGCCGCTCGTTACCAAGGCAACGGGGCCACCCTCGCGAGACTTCGGGCCACCCCCGGGGAGTCCGGAACGCCCCGAGCGGGGAAGAGTCACCGCGGGGTTTGCGCCGGAGGATGTGGGGAGGCTTGCGGCCCGCGGGGCCGGGGGGCGTCTACCGGTCCCCGCGGGGTTGCGGGGGCGCCGCGCGCTGAAGGAGACGCGGGCTTGGTCGGTGGCGCAGCCCGCCTGGGGCGTCCGGGGTGGGGAAGATGAGACCTCTGGGTGGAGCGGGAGGAAATGGACCGGGAAGAACCCTCAAAATTCTTCTCGCCTCAGAACTTAAGTTTTAGATCGGTCGCTGTTGTGAGGTCATTATTACCCGGACGCTCTGCAGATCTCTCTCCTGTTGCCTCAGTTCATTGTGATCGTCTCTTAACCGTCTCGACATTTCCCCCGGCTCTTTAGCTCCTTGGGTGCGGTAATATATTTGGATCGTTTTCCAAGTAAAGCTGAGAAACAGTTTCTAGGTGCTTCTGTGGGATTGTATGCACCACGAGATGCGTGGGAGTGTGGCCACGGAGATAATGGTTTGGAGGTAGAACAAAGAGAAGACAGTAGGCTTCCCTTTGGAAGTGGGTTCATCTCCGCTTTTTAAAAGTTGTAAGTTTCCCAAAATTAACTTTTTTTAAAAAGGTTCTCAGAGTCCCTAGGGGGGGAAAAAAGGAGTATCTTCTGTTAGATCAGGCCCACTTAACCAGTTAGTTACCCGTTACATTTTACTTTGTTTTAAGCCGTGCATACCTGTTACTAACGGTGGCATACACAAAACGCTTTTATATATGGACTCTACTTTCCTGTGGGATTTTAGAGTTATGGTTGCAAACCGCAGCCTGCCAGGTATATAAGGTGAAACTCAAAGAAATGCTCTAATGGGATTATACAGGAATTATTGGCAGAGCTGGGACTTGTTTCACGATTTTTAGTCCAAATATTTACGTTGTCATATTTCAAGCAATCCCACAGAGAAAAGTTATTTTACTGCAGAAGAAAAGTACATCAAGTTCAAAAAACTTTGCAAATGACTTTCATTTATTTTCTCATTAATTCAGCTTCAGTGCTTACTCCTTGTTGGGGACTGTGCCTGATGTAAAGCTAGTGCAAGGAACAAAACACATTCCTCATGGAAACACTGCTGGGAAAAGAGTGACAAGCCAGTTACACACACACACACACACACACACACTCTCTCTCTCTCTCTCAGTTGATGGTAACTGCTATGGAGTGAAATAAGGGAATACATGAAAACCGGAAGGAGTGCTTTGTAAGGGAGAAGGTATGTCTTTCCACAGAAGGCATTGCATCAGAGAACCAAAATGAAGGATGAGCCATGTGAATGTCTAGGGGGATGGTGCCAGATAGGGGGAGCCAAGTTCCAGAGAAGACCACTCTGTGAGTTATACAGGCAGTCATGTTTAGCCAAAACATAGCTCAAGTCAGTATCATTGTAAGGAAAGAGTTTCCATTAGAACTTATCCCCCATATAAGTTTAAAATACTGTTCTTAAACTGCTTCTTCTAAACTTTTGTATTTTTTTATTAAATTGTTATTATTCATACAGAACTGGGGTACAAGCCAGAGGTACAGGGACAGTGAGAGGCTTCACCAGAGACAGAGGGAAGCAGAAGAGGCAGATCCATGAGGTACACTGCTGAGGGGAGCAGCGGGTGGGTCAGGAGAGGTCTGTGGCTCCATGTGGGTCACCTCTGGGGCCAGGGATGGAACTTGCACTGAGGTGGCTGTGGCCAGCTTGCAGTGCTACATCCTAACTCATTGCGCCACCTGGGAGGGCCCCTCTTTTATATCTTTTTTTAGCTTTCTCCCGTCTAGCCAGTAGTACAAAATGGAAATGAAATTCTTTACCTGTACAGTGGAAGTAATACCTGGAATAACCCAAGGATTTCCTGTTGCTCTGCATTTTCTTTCTCCTTCCCTACGTTTTTAAGCAGAGAAGGTTACTGGACAGACTTCTTACATAGCGAGCTACCTTCTGCTTTCAGGGCAGGTAGCCATATTTCTGCAACAGTATTTCTTCCTCCAACTTTTTGGCAAATTTCTCTAAAAGCAGTCTAATAGAAGTCAAGTCAAAAGAGAAAAAGAAAAACCAAAATACTCCCAAAGCACAGTTGCTAGAGTGGGAACAAGGAGAAAGTTTATTTGAGCAACATGGCCAAAGGTAAGCTGTACTAGGAAGAGAATTTATTTTGTGTCATATTGTAAGTTCGTTAGGCATGGGCAGAACACATGCAGTGAGTAGGTAAGCAGAGTTATTTATGACATCATAGCAGTAGGGATCATGTGTACCTCGTCACAATTCAACTGAGGAGGGTCTGAATGTCAGGGTCATACTGAAGCACTGTTTTCTCAAACATTCTGAAATTAAGTTGAAAGAAGGCCTCTAGCCCACCCAACAATAATGGCTAAGTCACTTCAAAAGAGACAAAATGGTTCCCAGGTTCAGTATGAAGACTCATAACAAAAAGCCTGAAATGGGCCCTCCCTGGTGGCGCAGCGGGTTAAAGCAGAGCCACTTCAGCATGAGTTCGATCCCCACCCAAGAGGTGACCCACATGGCGTGGCAGACCTCTCCTGACCCGCCCGCTGCTCCCCTCAGCAGTGTACTTTGTCGATCTGCCTGTTCTGCTCCCCACTCTGTCTCTGGTGAAGCCTCTTGCCGCCCCTGAGCCTTTGCTCTGGCCTGTACCCCAGTTCTGTATGCATAAATAAATCTTTTTTTTTTTTTTTTTAAAAAGAATCTCCTGGAAGTGAAACCACCGAATGTCCATGATTTCCACTGCTGATTCTTATGTTCAGCAAGGACTGAGAAACCCGAGTGAATTTAGGACAGATGATTTCCATCACTTGAAAAAAACTTCAAAGCACCTGTGTTATGTAATGTTGGGCAAAGACTAGACATTTAAAAAGCTAACATTTACTCTAAGCTGAGTAAGTTGGAAACTGGCTAAGACATTTATCTTGTACTCTGTATGATGGTACTTCTTTTGCATGATGCTTACATTAGGATATTTAGTAAGAGATTATTGAATGAAGTTTCTTTCTCCAGATAGAAAAGACCAATTGGGACTTCTACAACTTATTTTAATGAAACCTTTTTTCCCCCATCAAATCATTTGTCAAGATAGCAAAAATTACCCTTACTAAAAGCATGCCTTGGCAACAGTCTATTATTAAAACTGTGTTAGTGAAAAGCAAATGGCCAACATTCTTTATGGGACTGAGAAGTGGGGTTGAGTTAATACAACAATTATATCTATATAAATCTGGGAACAACAGTGTCATAAAATGAACTAACTTCTCAGAACTTAAAATCTCTACAATAAAAATAGACAGCAGACCTCTAGCAGAGTGTTTATAAACTGAGTTGTTCATGAAATCATCATTTTATCCCTTACTTATCAAGCATCCTATTTGTAGGGTACAGGGTGAGTCCTGGGAGGTACAAAAATACACAAGACAATTTTTTTTGGGGGGTCCTAATTACCCCAGGCTGAAGTATCCTCTTGTTCCTATAAAACATGGCAATTAGGCGCTATGGCCTTGTGATATTTTATTTCTCAAATTCTTGACTTGTTACTCAGTATGTTATGACTTATCTGTGTCACTTAACCTTTTTGTCCCCATTGGGACATGTAGTTGTTCCCCAGGCTGAAGGTAGGTGCCAATTTCTGAAGACCAGAGTACTTTACTCCCAGGATCTAGGGAGCTTTTCAGAAGCAGTAGATTCACAACTTAAATCTTTATGAGGACCACCTCAGTCTCCAGACCAAACAGTGCATCATAAATATGCAAAATGGCTATGAAAAGACATCTTTGTATGTAATTTGTATTTGCAAATGAAGGATATATGTTAAATGGCTATTTCTACTAGAAAAACTATTTGGGGGACATCAGAACTATTTGGGGGACTGTTACTTTGGGAGCAAGGGGGGAATATGATTGATAACACTGGGAGTAAGAGAGGATGGAGGAATATTTGATAATTTTTTGCAAGAACTTTTTAAAATTCTTTGTAATTTTTTCCCTATATGTTTTTCAGAGCAATTTAAAAAAATTCTCTTCTTTAAAGAGTAAAATCAACATTCAGTCTGAAATAAATATCTTGCTATGTCATCTTTATTACAACAGATAGAACTCTACTATGTCATCTTTATTACAACAGATAGAACTCTCATAATCAACCTAGAGCATAAAAATAAGTGAGGCAATGACATTTGGAGGAATTCCATTTATTGTGGATGCATTTTCACAATATATATTTATTGCAGCAATCAATTATTAGTGAAAAATATCAAATGTTAACTTTTAGGAATGGCAGATTCACAGAACATGCTAGTCACCTTGCAGTTTTACTTCTTAACGATAGCAAAGAGAATTGTAATCAAACAAGTAAACAAATGGGATTCATTTTTCCAAAGATTAAATCCAAACACAATGAAATTCTACCCTAGAACTCAGTCCATCCAAGTATTGGGAAAAAAGTCAGGGTTGATATAGTCTCTTCTCAGCTTTAGACCTTTCTAGAAAAATATATAATAGCGATCAGAAACTCTTATGCAAAAGTACAAAGCAAAGTCACCAAGGCCTTCATTCAAACTTAGAACCATTTCTCCCCAAAGGTTGGAGCAGTGCTGAGTTGGGAAGGGCAGTGAGTTCTGTTCATCTTACTATAGTAGACTCATGTCTACTCTGTCATAGGTGGGTGCCTGCGCAGTCTTGGTGACTTACCTTCCTTTGGCCCAGGTGTGCTAAAAGCTAGAAGATTCAGCTACACTTTACTTATTTATAAATAATATAGACTTTGGAAGGCAGTGGTCATGCCCACGCCAGCCATGCTCCTGGCTTGCTTTTCGAGGGGGAGATACTGTAGATTAGAAAAATAGTTACTTGGGGGCTACTTCCTAGTGGTAGGAATTGAGGCTAAGACAATTTTGGTTAAGTCAGTTGAGGTGTGAGTTTATATAACCATATTACATGTATACCTCAATGCTAGATGATGTTGCCCAGACACTGAAATACTCATTGATCGTTCATCGTGAAAAACAGATAAATATTTATAAGCTAAAATAAAGTCTGATGTAGAAATGATGTATATAAAAATAATGACTAGAGCAAGATTCTTGGGGAAAAGTTAAAACTAGTGAAAGTTACTCTTTTTTTTATCTTTTAATACATTATCAACTTATAAGTACCAGTGACTAATAAAAGTAAAAGGTTTAACTTAAAAAATATGTTTCAGTATACTAAAAATGGGAGAACTGTCACCACTCATAAATATTGGAGTTTGCTCACTTCTCTGCTTCCAGACTTCAGCCAAAGTTGGTCTTTGTATCCCTGTACATACGACCTTGTCACTAAAATTCTTGTCTTAAAATTTAAAGATAAAGGAGACCTCAGACATCATCTAGGCCAACCTTTTGTGACTTGATTGTTTAACTTTGGGGTTGACCTAGCTGGTAGGGTTAGTAAAATCCAAACTGGACTTCATGATTGCCTCTAATTATAAACTAAATACTGTGTTTCATAGAAAATACCAGTTCATTTTGACACTTGTAATATCTTTTTTCTTTTTGGATATTGAAAACATATTGATATCTAGTCTGCCATGTCTCTGTTGACAAATATGAAATACTTGTGATTTTTAATTTTTAAGAAGCTGTGATCATTGGCTAGTTACAAGGACATATTGCTTAATATAATAGGCTAGCACATAAAAAAGCTTTCTACCATTAGTGTGTTTGTATATGTATATGCACATACATACATAATCAGGTCATCTAAACTGTGGTTCACTATAACTACCAAAGAAATCCACAAAGCAACCAACCTAAAGAAATCAGTACCACTGTCAGCTAACATCATAATCCAATTCAGATAATCATCAGTATGAAAAAAAAGTAATACCTTAACAGTACATTTTTTAAAAAAGACAATTCATTATTGCAGTATCTCAGACCTGAAATGGGTTAGTTTCAGAAAGTGTTACAATTTCCTAATAAGATAATGTCTTCCATGCTTTATTCTAAAGTGCAGAAACAACATGACTTCTGTATGTAAAGCAAAAAACCACTGCAGCTCATTTTTCCAGGTACTGCACACAATTCCTTAGGCAAATTTCAACTTGAACCTCCTTTTGCTGACTTTTGATGTGTTGGATGTCACTGTTCAGACACAGAGTGACAATGATCAGTAGAAAAGTCTTTCACAGCATGGTTTTCTTTAGAAACAGGCCCCTGTGCAAAGGCGGTACTTTTACCATGAACATCTCTAGACTGTGACTATTAAATATAGTGATAATATACATGGGTTTACTGGGATAATGAAAATTAAAAGGAAGTAAACCCAATTTAGTAAATCAACATAAATATAAAACAGAGCAAATTAACCCTCTTCAACTGAGCTGGTCCAGCATCTTGAGTGCTACTTTGGGTTCTTTCTGGAACTGTCTCAAACCTGCTAAGAGAAGAGACATTTAAATCGGCAAGCCACATATTTCAATCAGATGTTTTGTACAGGAAGAAAAGAGGATCGTAATATGATAGGAGTAAGTATTTATGAAAAGGGGTTATCATTGGTATTCTATTCAAATATGCTTTTGTCTTTTTTGATTTTTTCACTTTTTCTTTCTCCTTTATATTTCCATTTCCCAATCTTGATCTTGCCCCAAACTCAAGACATTAGGGTCCAGGAAGGGTTTTTTGTTTTTTTTTTAAAGATTTATTTATTTGTGCATACAGAACTGGGGTACAGGCCAGAGACTCAGGGGTGGCAAAAGACTTCACCAGAGACAGAGTGGGGAGCAGAACAGGCAGACCACGAAGTACACTGCTGAGGGGAGCAGCGGGCGGGTCAGGAGAGGTCTGCCATGCCATGTGGTCACCTCCGGGGCAGGCGGGAATCGAACTCATGCGGAAGTGGTTTCAGCTTCTTAGTGCAGTGCTTTAACCCGCTGCACCACCAGGGAGGGCCCCTCAGGAAGGGTTTTTAAAAAATTTCTGTTGTAAGGGCCAGGAACCTATAATGTTTCTTCCAGAATAGGCCAGGTGACTGCATAGCCCCGTCTCTGTCACAGATGGTTAGTAATATAGGCTTATTTTTCATTTTTTTAAAAAAGATTTATTTACTTATGCATACAGAACTGGGGAACAGGCCAGAGGTGCAGGGGCAGTGAGAGGATTCACCAGAGACCAGTGGGGTGCAGAACAGACAGATGGACGAAGTACACTGCTGAGGGTTGCAGCGGGCGGGTCAGGAGAGGTCTGCCGTGCCATGTGGGTCACCTCCGGGGTGGGGATCGAACTCATGCTGAAGTGGTTTTAGCTTCTTAGTGCTGTGCTTTAACCCGCCACCAGGGAGGGCCCTTTCTCCCATCTTTTTAACCTCGCATTCTGTTTCTTCCTCCTTGTCTTACATTATCCCCTTGGCACTCATTATCACTTCATTTGCATACCATTTCCCCCTTTACTAGCTGCTGGCAATCCTTGCTGAGATGGTAACAATATTAGTGTGTGAGTCTGCACTTTCAAATGTGCTGTGTATTTCATTTACAAGGAATGACTGCTTGATAAACAGTGAGTTGGATTTTCTGCAACAAAGGGGTTCCCTAATCTCTACCCTCATGAAGTGGTCTCTGAGCCTGATAATTATAGCCTTATTATTATTGTAAAGCGTTTGGCGGTCCAGATGGAGGAGGGGAGATGGTGTGCATGAAAATTCCTGCCATCACCTGTCCTCTTAGTAACACAGGTGGCACAGTTCAGGGAGACCATTCATGTTCTGTTGTTAGTGAGCGGTGTTCTCTGTGTCCTGTTATTCCAGAGCACATCTTTATGCAACTTCTCAGAACTGTGGCTCAGGGGAATGTTGTCCAGAGAGTTCCATGATACTCTCTGGGATGATGGACTATGGGTAGACTCAGAAGACTATAAAAACATCTAAACTGCCATTTCTCGGCCCTCCCTGGTGGCGCAGTGGGTTAAAGCACAGCACTGAGAATCTAGAGCCGCTTCTGCATGAGTTCGATTCCCGCCTGCCCCGGAGGTGACCACATGGCGTGGCAGACCTCTTCTGACCCGCCTGCTGCTCCCCTCAGCAGTGTACTTCGTCGATCTGCCTGTTCTGTCCCCCGCTCTGTCTCTGGTGAAAACTCTCACCGCCCCTGAGCCTCTGGCCTGCACCCCAGTTCTGTATGCACAAATAAATAAATCTTTAAACTGCCATTTCTCAAAGATCAGAGACCTATTTGAGGGGCCATAATGACTTAGGCCAATGAAAGCTCATTTTCTGTTTAAAAACAAAAACAACTAAAGAACACTCCTCCTATTCCCTTCTATCAGAAGAATTGTGCAAGGAACTTTAAAACTTTCTACAAATCTTCAATTGAATAGTAGTCATCGAAACTACAAACAACATGTAATATAGTTCAGTCTATCATTTCAGACTGCCTGAGTTTTACAATGTAAGTGGCAGGCTTTGCCACTTACTTGCTGTGTGACTTTGGGGAAATTACTTAATACCTCTGTGTTTCATTTCCTTCAGCAGCAAATGAGGGTCAGCATCATGCTGCTTCACATGGTAGTGGGTGGGTCAGGCAATAATGCAGGTTGAGAAGGGAGAACAGTGCTCACATCTAGGGGTTAACAGGTTAACAGGTGTTTCTCCCTAGATGCTCTTGGAATGGCTGGAACTCCAAAGCTGGGTCTTATAAGGCATTGAAGTCCCCAGTTATACCATCGGCCTGATGCTGTCAACATTCCTCCCACTACAGCTTCCAGAATGCCCTGTTGGGAGCCATTCTGTGGTTTGGGACAATGCATGTTGTATGAGTGACAGACCTGCTATGCAAAGGCCCACAGACCTTCTTCTTCTTACTCTACAAATTGGTGTTTAGAAACTGACAATCCCCTATGGCTAGGCTGGTTCCTATTGGTCCCCAGAATCTCTCACAGTATGAGACAGCCAGAAAAGCACCTATGTAAAACATGTTTCCAGTAGATTACCTTAGTGGGGGAAGTGACCTTATCCACAGATTGCTTTTCCCAGAGGTTTCGCTTGCCAGACACATCTCCTGGCCTCAAATCCTAAAGAAGAGAAAACAGAAAAAACTGATAGGTGACCATTTATATTTTTTTGCCAGGTCTAAAGAAATCACATCTGTTTGGTTGTCTGAATCAAGTTCTTGTTTGGAATAATTTATCTTAGGGATCTGAAATGAATGGGATTTTAAGGATCCTTTTTTGAAAATCTGGATCTTCATCTGTGGTTTTTTTGTTTGCATAGAAGAACTGGGGGTACAGGTCAGACGTGTGGGGGAGTGTGAGGAGTCATCAGAAACAGGGTGGAGAGCAGAACAGGTAGATCTACTGGAATACACTGCTGAGGGTAGCAGCAGGCGAGACAGGAGAGGTCTGCTGTGCCACGTGGGTCAGCTCTCTGGCTGGGGATCGAACTCCAGCCACACAGCAGTGGTAGGGCTGAGACTACCTAGGTGCCAGGAGGCTCCTTCACCTGAGTTAGGTAAGAGAATGGACTGGAGCTGTCCCGCATTTCCATCCTTCACCAAGGACTCACTCTTTATTGAGCACTCAAATTGGGAAGCGAAGCATAATTAACATACTGCAGCCATTTTTAAACTTTCTATGTTCTCAGAAGTGAATCGAGGAACATAGTTAGTTTTAAAGAATTCCTTTAGGGTTTGCAGAGGCATCTCACCCTTGGGGAATTAACTTTTGTGTGATATCTGCTCTTGTCCTCTGGCCCTTATAAGTGTAGGCCATACTACGCTGATTTCCAGAAGCCAACACTGCATTTCTTTGTCTGAGGGATTTCTATGGCTACTGATGTCCTCTTGGCACACAGGAGGTGTGGCCTTCAGAAAGTTGACACATCGGGAAGAGTGCCCGAGTGCTCACTGATGAGATGGGCAAGACTCCTCAGCTCACGCCTCAGGTGAGGTATCTCTGGCACCGGTATTGGGGTAGCCTGCCTGGTGATCCCCAGTGGGATTCAGTTTTAATAGCTCATGTGGTAACTCACCAAAGTCACCCTTTACTGGCTTTCTCCTCCCCCCCACTTCATTCCTGCAGTGTTTTTCTCACCCCCAAAGGCCACCCCAAGTGTTCAAATCATCATGTGAGGCTCAAACTCACATGCTTTTCTAATTGTACTTTCCTCACACTAAACTCATGTGGTGTTTCTAGGGGGTAATTCAGAAGTGCATCAGTGGAACGTAGCCCCACAAAAGTAAACATTTACCACCGACTGTATCCATAAGAGTAGGTGACAGTTGATGACTTGTGAGAACTTGTAGAAGTCTTGGGAAAAAAACATGAAAATGTGATCGATAACAGTTCTAGAGCTATGATTATTTACTACCTCATAATTAATTTGGCTTGGACAAGTATCCAAATTTCTGTTTCCATTTACTTCCAGCATTTGCTTATATTAGTACTTGGCAAAAGGTAACTGTAGAAAATAAATGTGTTTTACTGAAATAGTGATGTTTATTTTGGCAAACCCTTTTCTCATTGGAAGGCAAACTTAAAAGCAGTTGCTTTCATCCATGGAGCCTAGTCTAAATGGACATATTTTTACAGATAGTATTGAAATCTTGGTACTGAAAATGCACTGGTCAAATAGTTCTCTGTGAAGAATTTCAGATTTGCCTTAATCTTGCTGGGTTTCTGGATTTTCATTGTGGCACGAATACCTGATATTCTATTAGAGAATTATACCTGTTTAACTTGGAACTACCAAGCAACAAATCAGATTGTTTTTGAATTCCATTCCCTTTGCCAATGTAGGTAGAAGTTGCCAAATTGTCTGGAAGACTCTTTTTGAAAATTTGGAAACTATAATTAGGAACATACTAATGGATGCTCTGGAAAGTGGTTATTATTACTCTATTTATTTGACTTATAGAAGACAAATATTTTTCTTTCACATGAATGCTCTTTTTTCCCTCAATCCTGCCTGTAAGTCTTTCCAGCTCACTGAACGTTTAAGGAGTCCATCTTAACTATTAACATCGAAGTGCTAAGCTGGCACTTTAAATCAAAGGGAAAACATAAATGTAATTACCTGCCCAGACTACATTTTAGAGAAAGACCCACTCCGGAAGAAGAGGGAGGAATGGAGGCAGGACAAGCAGGTTCCAGTCAACGAGAGATCAAAGAATGAAGAAGAGAATCAGCTAAGAAAGAAATGTTGTTGTTTTTTAATAAGAGACACATTAACATTTTAATTGCAGTACAGAAAAAGCAGTTTAGATACAAAACAAAACAAAACAAAACAAAACAACAACAGACAAATCAGTTAAAATAGACCTATTCAGGATTGAATTCCACTTACACTGTTACACTGAAACCCTGTAACATCTACCCACCAATAGTAGCTGTCCCTAAAACAAATCAAGTGTAGATGGATGTTTAATTTTAAGTAACTTTCAGGGACCCCCAAATAATCTGAGCACTGTTAATTCTTGCCTATAAGAAAAAGATGACATAACTGTGGTCAAGAGTGGTTTTTCTCTTTGGTAGATTTTAGAACTGAACACAAACCCTGTGGCTTTCACTTCTCAAGGTTTTACTGTATGAGGACCATTTTGTGGAAAGATTTCCCTCTGATTATTTCTTACTGGCTCCAGGCCACACATCTGCAAATGCAAACTCAAGTTTCACTTCCAGCCAAGTGAATATAAGGAATGGACTGAGAATAAATCACCCCTGGTTCCAAATCAGGAGGTGTCTTTGGGGACTCTTATTTGTTGTCATCCTAGACCATCCTTTGACATCCTGGGCTCAAGGTTGATGGGGCCAGAGTCCCAGGGTGTCAAGCTCAGATGTCTGCTAGGAAGTGCCAGTCCAAGGACAGATATGCCTAAAGAGGCTTGGAGTAAGAAAAGGAAAGGAACCTACAAATTCAAGAGTGCATGTTTCTACAGCTCACAAACATGTCAAATTATAACTTAAAAAAGGATAATTAAGCATAGCTATGTGGCCAAACTGCACAGATCTTAGCTGCTGGCTACGTGTGTGAACCCCCTAGACAAGATCTAGCTGTCTAAATTATCTTCCTGAACTTAATCCTCTGCTAGCTAACTTTCACGCATTTTCAGGAAATTTTATTATGTACCCATAATGTTTGTAAGTTACTCTCCTGTCTTGTGGGATTCCATGTCATGTCTTCTTCCAAAGAGACATGTTGCTATTCACACTTTGACAAGTGTTGAATGTTCTAGTCTTAGTATAAGGCTTAAAGTTGCTTCTTGGATATACTCAAACTATCAGTTGCCTATTGGTTCTTTCAGTAAGCCACTCTAGTCTACAAAACCCAATGAGACACAAGAAAAAAAGAGATCATTACACTCTATGTCAATTAGTACAGGCTCTTTTCCTTTCTCACTCTCCCCACTTACAGCTGGCCCAGCAGGTTACTTACTAAATAGAAGGTAAAGCAGGCAATGATTCTGAAATTTTTCTGTAATACCTTTTGGACCTGCCATTTTTAGGTATTTCCCATAACCTAGGAAATGTGGAAACTTTGACATGTACATGTACATGACTTGAATCAAGCTGACTTGAATCTCCTAACTTCTCTCTACAATGACATATATGATGATAGGTTTTTAAGTTAAAGTGCTGATTAAAGAGTATGCATCAAGACCTGGATCAAATGTATCGAGATAATCTGGCATAGAAATGAAACAGATTGCGAATACTGCAAGTGTGAATCTCCTCCACAAAGTGCCAGACTCATCAAAGCGAAAACACTTACCTTTCTCTTTCATATCTTAGGAGGGAGTCCATGAAATTTCTGCTCTTGTATTATACATGTCTTTTGGGGGAGAGGGTCCTTAGATTTTATTTTGAAGGGGTTTGAAGGGGCCCATACCTTAAAACGCTTACATAGACAACTATTAAAAAGTAGCTTCTGCTCCTATGTCACCTTGGGTGCTGGGAAGCTTTGGGTCCTGTAAAGCCCACACTTTCTGTCCTTGACCCCTGCTCGTGACTATCTCCTTTTATAGGTCTCCTTCCCTGGCTGGCTTACATATGTGACTTTTATACCTCCTGTGAGTCCAGATGCTAAGAATTTCAGGCTGAGTATTAATTGACTACAAAGAGTTGCACCCATGAAAGGCATGAAGGTTTCCACTTTTTCTTTTTAAGTTGGAAAAGTGATAAGCTTTAGAGCCTTGATGAAATATGGAGCAAATGGATGTCATAAGTGCTCTGGCATGGAGACCCAGGATTTGGCAAACTCTTCTCTATCTCTGCAGTGGGGAGGCCGTAACAGTTGAGTGTCTGTGCTGCCAATGAAGGTCTAAACACCAACTTAACAGAGAAAGATCATCACTGTAGAATGTGGAACTTAAGCCTTCTGATTAAAATAGTAAAAAAAGGCAAGTACCATATACACTCAATGAAAAGGCAGAAAGAATATTTTTATAGTCAGAGAACCATAACATAATCCTTGAGAAAATTTTTGATTATCAAAAATGACACTCATAACCAGCCTTGATAGTTTCTAGTTTACTATGTTTTAAAAATATAGTTTCCTTTTGGAGATATTGACAATTAAATTGTAGCCATTATTTCTACAATTACCTAATGACTCTATTTTTGTGTTCAGTTACAGAAAGTAGGCAAAGTATAAAATACGTGTCTCAAACAGCCAGCACATACATTCTTTTGGGAATAGTTGGGAGAGGGGGACATCTTCACAAAGAAGTGGTCAAGATAGCTTGACATTTTCACTTTCAAATTCTCAGCTGTAATGTGTCCAGAAACCAGAGAGACCAGTTCAGAGTATCAATGTGAATGATTCAACACTTGGGTTAGTGCCATGGTTTCCCACTGCTGTTCTCAGGGTGCAGAGAAGACTCTGGTTCCATTTTACCTTCTAACCAATTATGGAACAGTTGCTTACGATGGCTCTTTCTGATCTTGGTACCTCTCTTTGTTTATTATTTAGCAGTGAGAGTAAAAACAGGAGTTTTCTTTACCCAGCAAGCAGACCAGCTGCATTTTCTTCTGCGTCTGAAGCTAAGAATCAAAGACATTCAGAAAAATCTGAAGCTACTTACAGAAGGTTTGGGAGCAGGGGACTTGTTTCCGTCTGGTGTTTTGGTTAGCCATTCATTGATGCGGCTGGAAACCCCCACCTTTAAGCCAGCCGTTTCCTATAAAGAGTCAAAATCACCCAAAATATTAAAGGAAAAAACTTTGCTAGGAAGGAAATCTTCAAAGCCACCTCAAAAATACTATTAGCAGGCCCTCCCTGGTGGTGAAGCAGGTTAAAGCACAGCACTGTGAAG